ACAGACTTGAAAATAAATGTCGAGGGAGAAGAATTTTCTGCGCATAAAGCGTTACTTATCGGAAATCCTGTATTCGCATCAGTGTTACAAAATGATATGCGAGAAAGTAATGAAAACATCATTTATATCAAAGAAATGGATCCAGCGGTATTTCAGATCATATTGAGATATCTTTATCTTGGTGACACTGGCAAAATTAATTTTAAAAAACATGGAGTTGATTTTCTTATAAATTTAATAGTAGCAACGGATATGTATCAAATGAGATATTTGAATACGAGATTAATTAATGTAGCAATAAGGTATATAAACCTGAGCAATGTTATTAAACTTTTCAGACTCGCAGATAGATTTAACATTCTGGAATTAAAACAAAAGAGTATGCTCTATATAAGAAATCATCGTAAGGAAATTTGGGACTCCTTACCATTTAAAGAACTAATAAAAGAGAATCAAAAATTGACAATCGAACTCCTTTCATACGTCATGGAAAATGGTTGCCCATAATACGATCAGTTTATCATTTATTACTTTTTAATATGTTTGATTTTTTATCTAATTTAATCGCATTAAAGTTTGTAATAATAAACAACAAAATATGGCAAAAATAAATGTTTTATTAGAAAAAAAAAAAAACACACGCGTGTATGTATTTATCCACGCACGTAAGAAGTTATACTTCTTTGGCGTAACACAAAACAATATTATATATAATTTTAATAAAACTTCTAAATAACTTCAAAAATAACTCTAAAAATTTTAACTCGCGTGTCGATATATTCTATACTTGTAGAAAATACGATAAAATAATATAAAATTGTGGGTTAGGGAATATTTGAGAAGTGTGCGTGTATAGTTTATAAGTATGTACGTGCGAGTTTATTTTCTAGCTGTTGTATGTGTGATGATATGGGCATGAGTATGTATCGTGGAGAGAGAAACCTTTTCGTTAGATTAGTTCATTTATCAGGTTGCTAGGATACGCCGTCTGAACTTGTCGCGTTTGTTTAGCTCCATCGAAGTCTCTCGAACGTTCTTGATCCGGAAATGCAGAAGGATCGAGAGGTTTCTGGAAAGAATGCCGGAAGAAAACAAGGAACGTTGAAAGGGGGTGGGGTAAGACATACATAGGTGATGGAAAGGACCGGGTGGGGCATTCCGTGATAGTCCATTGATATTTGGCGAGTGTTAGGCGTGAAAGTAAACGGTGTGATAATAGGGGACGGTGAAGGGACACAAAAGACGACGATAAGTGACCAAGAGTCGAGTACGGCGTGTCCTTCACTAATTATGACTGTTGTTTTCGGATTACGGCGTACAGAGTGACACCTAATATCTCGTGGCGATAGATTGAATTTAGATTAAAGATGCTTACCATTCTATCTGATTATATCTTTAAATCGTTTAATAATTATCGTTAAGTGTTGTTCCTTAAATAAATAATGTGACGTTCCGCCACGCTTATAATTTCTAGAACATTATTTCTTCTTTACCAATGCTTATAGTCCAGTGAAAAAAAGGAAAACTGAGCTAATTGTCTGTTTTTCGGCGAAAACTTAATATAATGGTAACTCAACGACGCTGAATCGAATGGTGCCAATTTTTTTGCACCAGGATGTGCGATTCATGGCAAAAAGGGTAAAAAATGGCCGTA